GCGTCGAGGCGATGCTGCTGCGTCTGTACGAACCTATCCTGTGGCGAGCTCTCAAGGTGAGGTGCAGTCGTATAGCTGAGGTCAGGATGAAGGATCTCGTCCACATCGGGTCTTGAATTTCATCGTGGCACAGAGCAATTATCGAGGTTGATCTCTGCACTTCGAACAGTGGCCTTAAAAACTGGCGGTGGACCGGCGTAATGGCCCTACCTGGTTGGCCCCCTTACCTTTCCCGTGTATCTCATATTGTGTATGTATCCCACCCTGTTTCACCTGAAAGTGTTGATAAAAAGTAGGTGGCTTCAGACTTTCAGCAGAAACATTTGCCTCGGTGCCCTTCAACTCCACATGATGCTTGAATAATCCGTATTAAACCCAAGGCAACATTTGCCTCACCCTAAATTTGTTTTGTTTAATCAGACCATATATTGATGTTTCCCTTTGGGCACATTGCTTACTTCTAGTCAATATCCGTTTGCTGTATTTTTCCTATTGCCTCTGGACCCCAACCTGACCCTAGGGTGTTTGAGGTTGTCAACTTCTCCCCTCACCATACATGGCGTTTGCTCTGGTCACACTCCTGCCTCTCGTTATGTGTTTGTCCGTATTGTTGAAGCGTCAGGTGACACAAATGCTGCGGACAATGTTAGTACGGCTGAGGGTCGTATAGGCTGTATTGACCGTATACACCGTATAGGCTGAGTTGACGGTGTTTCGCATTACAGGTAGCGAACGGCACGGTGCGTGCTAACGCTGCGGCGCTGCTATTTGACGTGTTCCCACTGCAGTCACCCGATGCTGACAAAGTGGAGAACGACGCTCTCAAGCAGCGACAATTCGACGTGTTCAACGTAAGTGTATCAACCATGCTCACCCGTAATCACATGTAAAATGTAGATTAGCACAGCAAGCGTGGCCCATTGTGTGTGTGTGTGTGTGTGTGTGTGTGTGTGTGTGTGCGTGCGTGCGTGCGTGTGTGCATGCGCACGTGCGTGCATGGGTGTGTGCGTGCGCGTGTGTACGTTCATGGGTGCGTGCGTGCGCGCGTGTGTGTGTATATGGGTGCGTGCGTATGTGTGTGTGTGCGCGTGCGCTCATTGATGTTTCCTTACACACAGATGTTGCTGAACGACCCGGTGCCGGTGGTTCGTGCGACGGCTGCTCTCGGCATCTTTAACGTCTGTAAGAACTACTGGGAGCTCATCCCGGCACCACTCATCTGCTTCTACATGAACAAGCTGCTCGTGGAACTCATCCACGACAGCAGCTCGGCTGATGTCAGGGTTGCCATACTCGAGTGTTAGTCAGGGTTGCCATACTCGAGTGTTAGTCAGGGTTGCCATACTCGAGTGTTAGTCAGGGTTGCCATACTCGAGTGTTAGTCAGGGTTGCCATACT